ATTGACTTTCACGGTGAAGGAATAACACCGTGTAATAAAAATCATACCCGCAAAATTATAATTTGCGTAATTACTGGTGGTAGGACCTCATGTGAGTCCGCACGGGTAGGTACCACCGCCCCGCCTATTTCTGCCGTGAAGCAGTAAAGATTTTTGGTTTGAAGGGTGGGGCAGCCGTTGTAACTATACTGAGACCTTAGAACTTATATCTTAAGGTGTGTGACGCCTTTACGTTGTAGATATCTATGGGCTTCAGTAACCACTTAACACCGGGTGGGCTGTGAGCTCGTCCACACGTTTAAGCAATGAAAAAAAAAACTGGAAACAAATTATGCATGGTCATCCGGCACCAATTTAAGATTTCCTTTTTTATGGGTACAAAAGACTAATAAACATACTTCTATATTCCTAAATATGTATATACAAATCTAGGTAATAAGCATCCAGTCAAAGAGCAAATAAGCCTGTTCATCACACGAATATTTACCCAATGTGGAAATCGAACTCACGACCCTCGGCGCAATCTACTGCACCACCGTGTCACCGATAAAAATTGTTCGCCACATTTTTTTTTCTAAGTAGGTAAGTGTGAAATCGTGACTGTAAATTAAATACTTACGTAATATTAATAGCGCCACGAACTGGAATTAACGACTTTTACACAAAATGAATTGTTCTTGATAAAATAAAATAAAATGTTATTGATGAAGCTGTTCATAACTTAACTTTAACTTCTTATAGCCTCGTTGGTCTTGTGATTAGTGANTCGCCACAATTTTTTTTCTAAGTAGGTAAGTGTGAAATCGTGACTGTAAATTAAATACTTACGTAATATTAATAGCGCCACGAACTGGAATTAACGACTTTTACACAAAATGAATTGTTCTTGATAAAATAAAATAAAATGTTATTGATGAAGCTGTTCATAACTTAACTTTAACTTCTTATAGCCTCGTTGGTCTTGTGATTAGTGACCCTGAGTACTGTAGGTACCATAGAACCATTAGACATTTTATAATCTAAATTTTTGTATCTGAACATTTGTTACGGATCTCGAACGTGTGTACTTTTCTGGTGTACAAAATACAATAAAAAAATCCTAGCTTATGATTATTTAATTACCCGTGCCGAGAAAATGAGTTTAACATATCCATCGATCGAAGCACTAATTTGATTGGGCTTAGTGTTTATCTGGTTGTCTGCCGTTACTTCTCCTTGGTTTTAATAAGTTCTGTATTGGCAAATAGGGATAGGCAAATTTCTGACGATAGCCGATTAAACTATAATCGTATATGGCACACTGCATAAATTTAAAATTTATCAGTTACATTTTATATTTAAACGTACTTCTTACGTTTGAAATTAAAATTAATAGTTCAGAAATCATTCTGAGGGATGCGCTAGCAAAACAGCAATAGTATGCTCGTCTGCCTACAAGGGCAATAAAAAAAAAAGTATTGAAGGAAACTGTCAATTTCTATTTTATAGTAATTCTTAACAATTAGTCTACAGTATATTTAATAAAACAAAATGTAATTTTTTTTAATTCCTTCTACTTCCAAAGTAGTTGTTGCGCTGTGCGTGTGTCGATAGGCAGCGCCTTGGCTCTGCCCCTGGCATTGCTGAAGTCCATGGGCGATGGTAACCACTCACCATCAGGTGGGCCGTACGCCCGTCTGCCTACAATGGCAATAAAAAAAAGGTCGACCTCCTGGCTCACGTCAAGATTTCTTGTAAATGGCCCGAGGTCGTAGAGATTGGTCCCGCAAGGGTGAACTATTACTACTACTACTACTACGGCTCGAAGTGGTCGGAACCTCGACTCTCAGCTTAAGTCGTCTGACTAGTAAGGCTTTTACATCAACATTATTACCACGCAATACCGTTTTTAATTAATCTAAATTGTTTCAATTATATCAACAAATAAAATGCCGTACTTATTATAGGATAAGTATAGATAGCGATTAAAGATATTGTCCCACGATAAAAGTAATCGAAAAATAACGTTTCTTAAGGTTTTTTTTTTATTGCTTAGATGGGTGGACGAGCTCAAAGCCCACCTGGTGTTAAGTGGTTACTGGAGCCCACAGACATCCACAACGTAAATGCGCCACCTACCTTGAGATACAAGTTTTAAGGTCTCAAGTATAGTTACAACGGCTGCCCCACCCTTCAAACCGAAACGCATTACTGCTTCACGGCAGAAATAGGCAGGGTGGTGGTACCTACCCGCGCGCACTCACAAGAGGCCCTACCACCAGTAATTACGCAAATTACAATTTTGCGGGTTCCATTTTTATTACACGATGTTACCAGTAATTTGTAATAAATATCTGTTAACGTTACCAACTATTCTTTAATTTTAAACCGACCATTTTAGTTTCATTGTAGAGGCCATTCTTATTGTAATCCATTTTATTATGCGTAGTTGAGTACGAATACAAACAACTAGGTTAATTATGCTAACTAGTCGATATTATACAACAACAATAAATAAGTAATTAGGAATTAAACATAATTACATTACTTTTCAGAATACCACGAGGTTATAAACAAAGGAACTAGATAAAATGTTTTTCGTATAATCGAGTTGCAAATTAGAATTTTGTTAAAGATATAATATTCACTAACATAAACTGCCTTAAAAATAATAAAAATTGACTTCAAGAGTTAAAATGTATCAATTCAACTCACTAGAATGTTAGAAATAATACTATTGTACTTTTTCATGAAGAGTAGGGGTTTTTTATTAAATCGGCGCCGGTCTTGACATGCCAAATCCGGGCACTAGTAGTACTTAGCAGAAGTAGGCTATGGTATTTTGTTAATTAATGATCGAAAACATCATTGATTAGAATGATCCAAAAAAAACTGTACTTTTTTTACTGAAAAATACCAATCTAATAAGGTTCAAAATTAATCAACACGCAAAAAAAACCGATCTCGAAGGAACGAGGGGCGCTGCCTGACTTCGCATTGCATTGCTGCTTTGTGAATTATGATGTTATTAAACGACAAGTATTTGTGCTTAATTTTGGCTTTGTAATATCGGCCCAAAGTAACCTGACATGTCCTTCTTCAAACGAGGCTTGTGGAGAGTATTAAGCGGTAGGCAGCGACTTGGCTCTGCCCCTGGCATTGCTAAATTCCATGAGCGACGGTAACCACTCACCATCAGGTGGGCCGTATGCTCGTCTGCCTACAAGGGCAATAAAAAAAAAACACCGTACGATCTCTTCATGTCGTAAAATACGACTATGAGATTCACAGAAAAACGGACAGTAGCGTTATCCAAGTATTATTATTATTATACCAACATAATGCAATCGCCAAGCTATGCCAGCCATGCTAGTAGGACGTATTGTCAATTCTAACATTTGATTTCCATCTATTATAAACCGATGTGCTAAGTGCGAGTTTTTTAACGTCTTCGATAGCGTAAAAGTTAACTCAAATTTGTACGAAGGTGAATGTTAAAAAAACTCGGAATAAGCACACAGTACATTCTTTCCGTTTTGAATTCGTCAACGATTTCAATACAACCTGAATTTAATTTCATAAAATATATTAAACCGCTAAATAATATGCATGTACGTAACTTTATAACACACATGCATGTTTGTAGTTATGCTAATTATTAACCGAAAGTACTATAAAGACATTTGCCCCAAACAGGTAGACTGAAAGTGAAGGTAACACTTTCGCTAGTTCGGTCCGACGTTGGCCTCACGAGTTGTTTAGGAGTTGCGTTGCTCTGAACTTAAACACACAAAGAGCTTTCTACATAATAATGCACCAATTACAACGAATAAGCAAAAAAAATAAACATAATTATAAGCTTGTACCAATTTATGTTTTAAATTCAATAACACGTTGCATCGTTTATTGAAATAATGTCGACGATAAATATCGCAAAGTTTAAAATAGCTGTTTTATAATATTAATGTAAAATTCTGGTCGTGCCTTTCTTTTTACTTAAGAATAATGAAACAAAGTTATTCAGGTAATAATAATAATTTAAAACAACATGAGTACATTACATTTCGCATAGTATCTTTCTTATTTATTGACGTATTAAAAATGTACTTTAACACGTTTGACTCAATTAAATGGATTATTATGCGATAAGTACACATTCATTTAGAAACTGTTACGGTCGTATGTAACACTAAGATTACTTTATAATGATAAATAATATGTAATAAATATTATTAAATAATAGATAAAAGAATATATAAATAATATCTATATATATATTTGAATGATATGTGGTGGAAGCATTCAAGAAAAAGGAACTGTCAATTATTCAAAAGACTTGTTGATATCGCAAATAGTTGATTTATTGCAAGTACTAAAACTGTACTGATAATTTTAATTATTATCGCACATGACAAAAGGTTTATTATTAAAGATAGTCAACAATAATAATATATGCTTCAATTAAACACATATTTTGTTGTTTTGGGAATTTGTTTAATTTTTACTTCTATGGGTGTCGACCCTAAAAGCGAAAATTGCTGTCTTAAATTTATTAATTGACTAATCAAAACATAAAGAACATTCAAAACCGTCGATCTTTAATATGTCATGAAGTCATAAAATTACGAAAATGCCAAGGACAAATTCAATGAAACGTGCTAAAATATAACACGGCGACAAGCTCCTATAGACATTTATTTATTTTGCATAAACAGAACCATGAATAATTACTTTGCATTAGTTTTAATATCGAAAAACAGCTAGTTTTTTTACGCACATACTGATAAAAATTGATATTTGTATTGAAATAGGCCCGGATATTAAAATATGTAATTTTTAGGTCGTCACTAACACCACAGTCAACTGAAAGTGGATGTCTCATAATCAACATTATTTGTTAAATTCTTTGTAAACCAATCCACGTAATTCAATAAAGAGTTTGCCTTTCACTTAGCATTCGTAACTGACACGTACACTCGATTTTGATTATGATTGTGCATCTGTGGATCAACTACACTTACCTTGTAAAGTAGTCTCACTTTAAGATATTAAAACTGCACTAGATATCACAGTGCCATCGTTGCCAAGACAGACGCGTCAGCGAAAGTGATAGTTACGATGATCGCGAAGAGCTGCTTAGAGCGGAACAAACGCACCGATACAAGCGGAGAGATAAGGGAAGCGCGTAGCGCCTGCACTCGCGACGACTACTCAGCGCGGAGTGGAGGTGGAGGCACGGTCCGAACACCTACTCATGCCACGGTGGAGGCTGACGCGCCAACTCTACCTCCGCACTTCAAAACAACAACACCCACTCTCACTCTTTTCACATCATGAAAATTGTTGTCATGGAAAAAGCAGCTATACTCCCACACAGTTCCCGTATAGCAACTAATCGTATAAGTATAATTCAGTTCGATATACTTATTTATTTCGTTAGGGTTTTTATTTTGATCACTGCTTCAACTAAATAAAATTTGTATTTGATAGATAAAACATTAACTACCGTATTAATAGCACGTTCGAAACATTTTGTTTTTAAAGATAGATATAATAATTAACAAAAATAAAATATACATATTTTTCGAGTAAATTAATGATGCTTTATCTTACCCACAATTATTTATTTATCATTAATAAACCAAAATAGTAAAAAAGATATTTAGACTAAATCTAAAATCGTTCAAACCAAGCTAGCTCACTCAGAAAGTCCCTTCGCTTCCCTACCATTACCATACTATCCCACTGTATTGATTCAATAGCCCGGTCCTGCAGTTTCCATGCAACAATGTACATGCAACAACACAACTAGGTATACCTAGGTTACGTCAGAGTTGACCTATTTTGAAATATAGGCAAGCAAGGAACGACGGATAGGTCACGCATTACTTTATCAAATTTAAATGTACAGATAGCAACTGGTTCATTTTGAAATTCAACTTTGGCAACATTTTAATTATGATAATTATGACATCATAATCTTGCGTAATTAGTTATTATTGGCATTGGAAATATGGTGAATGACTGACTGATAATAGTAGTATTCCAATAAGGACAACACCAGGGGTATAGCCAGCAGTTCTTGTATATTCGTCGGCCATTGAAGGCGTTATAAACACCATACAAAGTAACTTCTATAAAACAAAAGAAAATAGTTAACTATTGTAAGAATTATATTTACATCTGGTCCAATCAATATTCTCGAAATTTTCAGGAATATTAATTCATATCTCAGGTAGTTTGCAGTAAAGTAGAAATTAAATTGAATTGAATTTAATTTTTGGAAATTCAGTTGGGCTAGGCGGAATTCACAATCACACTATACCTAAATACTATTTTACATTAAAAAAAACAATAATTGTATACATTATAATTTGGAACCTATCAATCTCATAATATTAACATTAATTGAATTTTTTTCGCGCCAGTCTTATTAAATATTTTTGTGAGATTAATCTTATCTTATCTTATCTTATACCTTTAAACGAGCAATTCTTGTATACATATATATATATATATATATATAATCTGAATCTCGGAAACGGCTCCAACGATTTATATAAAATTTAGTATACAGAGGATTTCGGGGGCGATAAATCGATCTAGCTACGGTTTATTTTCAGAAAAATTTGTTTTATTCGTGTTTTCAATAATCAACTTTATCGATATTCAACTTTATGACTCTTCCCGACATCTATTGGCGAATAATAATACTATTTTTCTACTTACTAGCAACTAACTGCTTTAAAGACAAAATAAGATGGCGGTTTAAAAAAAAAACGCGCAAAGCTCAAAGGTCATCATCATCATCATCAGCCTTTATCTGCCCACTGCTAGACATAGGCCTTCCCCAATGCGTTCCACATAATGCGGTCCTCCGCCTTCCGCATCCAACGACTTCCCGCCGTGCGCACTAAGTCGTCAGTCCACCTGGTTGGAGGACGCCCCACGCTCCTGGTACCCCCATCCGTGGCCTCCATTCGAGGACTTTCCTCCCCCAACTGGCGTCGCTGGCTCGACAGATGTGACCGGCCCATTACCACGTCAGCCTGCTAACTTTGAGAGCTATGTCGTCGACTTTGGTTCTCCGTCGAATTTCTTCGTTCCGGCTTTTGTCCCTTAGAGAAATACCGAGCATAGCTCTCTCCATCGCCCGCTGTGCGACTCTTAACTTATGGGCCAGCCCTGCCGTCAGTGTCCAGGTTTCCGCGCCGTAGGTCATCGGTCATCATCTAGTATAAAATGAAGTGATAAAGAGAACAAAATTGCCATAATAACATTACATATGGTAGGTATGAAACTAAAGGAAAAAATTTAAGTTCTCAAATCCATGTTGTGTATTTTATAAAGTGACTTAAACTTTGCAGCTAAAATCATATGCAGTTGTGATTACTTAACCGATATAATTAAATCTAATTTTACAACTGAATTTCACGTTTATTAGGTATATATAAACGTTTCTGCTTTACAGTTTTCGTGGTCACGGATGACTAAGCTCTTCTTTGAATATTGAACTAAAAGCATTTTATGGTCGGGCTGTTTGTTTGACTTGGATTCACACTTTCACGATAAGAGGATCCTAGGTGCTGAATGAGCTCCAACCATTTTGTCTGTTAAAGTGTAAGTGAAGTGATGTTAATATAAAATTTAAGCCCTTTAAGCGATTTTTATCTGTTCCCCAATTGACATAATACTTAAGGGTAACAGGTACGAAGAAGATAGTAATAATAATAATAATAACTCCACCGGAGTAGAGTTCATCCATACTTCCTGGAGCCACTGCGGTCATCCACAGTGCGTTTCCAGAGGTCTTGTTTGCCACGTACCATCCGGCTATGGAATGAGCTCCCCTCCAAGGTGTTTCCCGAGCGCTATGATATGTCCTTCTTCAAACGAGGCTTCTGGAGAGTATTAAGCGGTAGGCAGCGGCTTGGCTCTGCCCCTGGCATTGCTGAAGTCCATGGGCGACGGTAACCACTCACCATCAGGTGGGCCGTATGCTCGTTTGCCTACAAGGACAATAAAAAAAAAGATAACGAGGTGATGGATGCCGTGGAGAGCTTTTCGCAGGATAAAGACAAAACTTTTATTTGAAAGGGATTGAACTTGAATTGACTCGGTGTGTAGAGAGACTCGGAGACTATGTAGAAAAATAAATTATTAAGTTATCAATAGTCATTATATTATATCTCATTCTCACTACTTTTTGATCCTCCTTATGTATAAAATCAGACAAGATCTAGGTTTGACTGGAATGTGGTAATGTAGCAATAGCCAACAAAAACTTCTGACAAACATTTGGTCTTTTTTTTGAACTGTCTATGACCCAACACATCAGTTCCAAATGAAGTAGATGGAGTCACGCAACAATAACCCGATAGGTTGTTATCACTATACAATACCAATAAGGTTTAAGTACATATCTCAAGGTCGGCTGCGGCATCCACATTATGATTCGACGGAAGTTCGTTCTCGCCAAAACATATAAGAGACGAAATGTGATTACAGAGTTGCCATTGTCTATTTAAAAGTAAAGATATCGAGAGGTGAACGGCTATTTGGTTTAAGCGACATTTCGCTTTTTTTTTATTGCCCTCGTAGGCAGATGAGCATACGGCCCACCTGATGGTGAGTGGTTACCGTCGCCCATGGACTTCAGCAATGCCAGGGGCAGAGTCAAACCGCTGCCTATCGCTTAATAGGCGACATTTATCTTTGCCATTAAATGCCCGTTTTGTTTGGTAAATTAGCATCAACAACTCGACGCTTTTAATTGAACTTCAATTAAGTTTTCTTTATTCAAATAGCTGAAGAAGTTTGCTATGATATTTTTTCCAAACTTTAACCCTATAAATGGATCTCATCTAAAGTTGCAAAAATGGCTTTTTTTATTGCTTAGATGGGTGGACGAGCTCACAGCTCACTTGGTGTTAAGTGGTTACTGGAGCCCATAGACATCTACAACGTAAAAGCGCCACCCAGCCTGAGATATAAGTTCTAAGGTCTCAGTATAGTTACAACGGCTGCCCCGCCCTTCAAACCGAAACGTATTACTGCTTCACGGCAGAAATAGGCAGGGCGGTGGTGCCTACCCGTGCGGACTCACAAGAGGTCCTACCACCAGTAAATGGCTCTAGATTTCATTCCACTTGATTTTGTAATACTAGGATTTTTCAGTATTTTTATATTTATGGCAAGTCTAGGTATATACTTATACTTTGAACATTATATTATATATTATTAGATAAAACTGAACAAAGGTATTAAAATACTCTAATTTAATCAATTTATAAGGACTTATCGTTGATCCGCAAGTGTGATAAATATTATGCCATTCGGATTTCTCACTTTATCGTGCAGTCATATGTTTATTTTTAATAAAAGTGTTTTTGTATTGTACTTTTTATAATACATATTAAAAAATGACAGCCTTCATTATAATAGTTGGAGTATTGTTATTAGTTAACATCGTATTTATTCTAGTTTCTCTGTTTCTCACCGTGTTCAACAAGGAGAGTAAGGTATAGCTGTTTCTTGATTTTCACTTATTATATAATTGAAAAATGAATATAATTTAAATATAATTGAAAAAAAATAGGAATATTATTTCTTAAATAATATTCCTATACACATTTTCGAGAAAATGTTAGAGAATTTTTTTAACATTTGAATGTACTTCAAAATGGATAAAGATTTCTTCAATTCAAATGGGTTTTACGAGGGCGGCACTGAAAATTTTGGGAATTAACGAAGTGACACAACATTACTATTTAAAAATGTATTTATTGCTTTTCGAAGTATTCTCCGCGAAATTTGACACATTTTTCCATAGGATGAAACCAATCATTGAAGCAACCATTCCATTCGGAAGTTGGGGTCTCCAAAATGGCCGTTTTGTAGGTGTCCACAGCTTCTTCAGGTGATGAAAATCTCTGTCCACGCAGTTTATTCTTTATTTTAGGGAAAGTATAGAAATCATTAGGGCTTAGGTCGGGGCTGTACGGCGGATGGTCTAATAATTCTATGTTTTCTTGCTCTAAAAACTCTTTTGTTCTTTGCGCGGTATGAGAACTCGCATTGTCGTGATGGAGGATGATGCGGCGGTTGCTGTTCTCTTTACGGAGTTCAGAAACGACCTGTGGCAAACAAATGCTAGCATACCATTCTGCATTAACCATTCTTTGTCCCTCAAGAGGAATAGTCGTAACATGGCCGGTTTTGGAGACAAACGTGGCCACCATTTTTTTTTGCAACACTCCGTGAACGAACAATTTTTGTTGGCTTTAACTCATTTTCGAACACTCAAACTCGTAACTGGTTTTTTTGTTTCGGGTTCGTATGCGTATATCCAGAATTCGTCACCTGATACAATGTTGTATACCTACAGCATTTGAGGATCCTGCCTGGAATCTTTCGAGAGTTCTGACGCACCAACTAACGCGAGCCGCTTTTTGCTCTTCACAGAGCGAATGCGGTATCCATCGGGAAAACAACGTTTTTACACCTAATTGTTCATGCAAGATTATTTGTATTTGACTCATGCCAATGTCTAATGTTGCCTGAATTTCGCGGTATGTCACATGTCGATCTTCCTCAATCAGCTTACGCACAGCATCAACATTTTCTTGGGTGACTGCAGTTTTTGGACGACCTTGACGGGGATCATCACTGAGCTTGACACGTCCACGTTGAAACTCAGCAAACCAGCGATAAATTATGGTTTTGGATGGGGCTTCATCACCAAATGCAGAAATCATCCGGTCAACACACTGTTTTTGTGTTAAACCTCTTCGAAAGTCATAATAAATCATCGCTCTTGAATTTTCTCGAGTCAATTCCATTTTCTCAACGACTAAACAAGTTTGACAAAACCTCGTGACAAGACCGAGAATCTTTTTTTAAATAAATAAATGGTATTCGATTTTTAAAACCAAGGAGTTTTCAATTAAAAAGATTTTAATATGACAGGAACAGTGGAAATATTCCATTCCCGATACTTTTAGTGCAGCCTAGTATGTATGTAAGTAATACGAATAAATTTGACAATATTGTGTGTTTTCATTAAATACTTATACAAGTACCTAATTACCACCAAATTCTTCAAAACTTAAATGACCCTTGTAATGATATTTAGTAAAATGATTTCCATTTATTTATTACGCAAATACGACTCACATCTAATACACAAATATAAATTAAAGAAGAACGATTTCTGGGTCCTTCGTAATAAAGTATATTTATGACGATAATTATTATCGGTATATGAGTCGACTATTATCAAAGCCGGCAATGTGACTTTTGGACAATTATTGGTAAATCAGAAAAACGAATTATTGACTTTGTATTCCATTGGCAGTCACAAAACTCTTCTGAACGACATCTTAGATAAATAACAGGTTAAGTATTAACCTTTATTTAATGCAGGTTTTGAAGTTTTTTTTTTGCTGAAGTCCATGGGCGACGGTAACCACTCACCATCAGGTGGGCCGTATGCTCGTCTGCCTACAAGGGCAATAAAAAAAAAAAAAAAAAAAAACCGTATTCTTTGAAGGAGACGATTATATTCAAATCAATCTGTATTGACATATCAATAACATTTTTTTGTCCAAATGCACAGATTGCCACCTTTGATAATAGACGACTCATATAAGTAATATTGTGTTAACACTAACATTCCTAAATTTATTTAACTCCTAGTGAAATAAAGATAGCAAAGATATACAAAAAAATTTGAAAGTAGTGTTAAGCAAAGCTTTATCACAGCTCTAGGTATCTTAAGCAGTAGTTTTATATATTTACAAAATATATTTCTAGTGCTTTTATATTCGTTAATTTACGTAGTTTTTTTTTTAATTCCGAACAAAAATAGGTAGCAAAAGAGATAAGATATTTTTCAAAAACACACTATCAACTCAGCACCGTTAATATGTTAACAAGTTACGTATGATTAATATTACAATTTATTACATTCATATTATTAAATATTTTTATTTGTAAAATTTTTCAAATATACATGATTAGATCTTATTCCTTATGGTTCTCAAATTAGCGCTCACCTTTTTATGTCCTGGAACCAAAAAAAGAGGAGCTCTGTGTTTCCCGACCTTCTAAAAATCTCAAAACTAGTCAACTGGTCAGTCATCACTGTCGCTCATACTTGCTCGGGCATCTGTAATGTCAGAGGTACAAGCAGTTGCCTACAAAAGTATTTTAGCTACCTGTAGGCAAACTCAATGACATAACTAAACTGATACCTACCGTCAAGTATTTTGCAAAATTTTGTTTGCAGCCTGAAGTCCGTCTCCTAAAGGATAAGACGTCCGTTGCATTCGTATCTAGCGATGCAACGGTGTTCGAATCCCGCAGGCGGTTCCAATTTTTCTAAAGAAATACGTACATGACAAATGTTTACGAATGACTTCCACGATGAAGGAATAACATCGTTTAATAAAGTCATGCCCGCAAAACTATAATTTGCGTAATTACTGGTGGTAGGGCATCTTGTGTGTCCGCATGGGTAGATACCACCACCCGTTATTTCTGCCGTGAAGCAGTAATGCGTTTCGATTTGAAGGGTGGGGCAGCCGTTCTAACTATATTGAGACCTTAGAACTTATATCTCAAGGTGGGTGGCGTATTTACATTGTAGATGTCTATGCGCTCCAGTAAACAGTCAACACCAGGTGGGCTGTGAGCTCCTCCACCCATCTAAGCAATAAAAACATATAAAAAAAGGATAGTTTTTACGCAAACTCTTGATATTTAAGTTATGGATCTTAGAAATATAAATAAACTCTGCTCCGATTTACATTTGCCTATATTAAATTAACGTAACCATTTTTTTGTAGGAAAACAAGAGTCCAAGAATTTCGCAGTTATCGGTGGCGCAAATAGTTCTGTCGCGACAGCACATGTCGTCTCGCGGAAGCTTGCCTCAAGTGACAATTTTCAATACATTCGTCCGCGTCAGCACTGGAAGCACACCGAGTGGCATCACTCAGAGTTTCAGACAAAAACATTCTAACGCAGAAGATGTCGGCAAACAAATTACTTCATAAAACCCGAAATTAAATTATCCAAGCTGTTGTGGTCTTTTAATTTTCATTCTAATCCAGCCCAGGAGCGCAGTGAAGAAAACTGGTTCCGTTTTATCTTACTATGCCAAACATAAATTTATACCGTTAAAAAAAGCTTTAATTTTTTTTTTATTGCTTATAATAGATACTGGCAGACCTATAGACGGTGTTTTGCATTGAAAACAGAACTAAATTAAATCTTTTGTTTTTTGTTTTATTGCTTATATGGTTGGACGAGCTCAAATCACATCTGGTGTTAAATGGTTACCGGAGCCCATAGACATCAACAACATAAATGCCGCTACCCACTTTGAAATATGAGTCCGAACTCTCATTTTTATAGAACAACGGCTGCCTCACCCTTCAAAGCGAAACGCATTACTGCTTTACGGCACGCCTTACCACAAGAAATTACGTAAATTATAATTTATACCGGTTTGATTTCGCTCGTTTGGTTTGTGAACATTATTTATGTACGTATTTCATTACAAAAAATTACCTACGTGTGGGATTCGAGCACCGGCACCGTCGCATCGTTCGATACGAATGCACCGCTTTTGTCGTATTGTCCTTTAGGCCACTACGATTTCAAATTCAATTATTGAGTTACAGACTATGTACTAAATATCAAACAGAGTATAAAACATATAAATTCTTATTGATTGCTCATTATAGCAATAAAATAAAAACAGAAAATAGAATTTTAAAATCATCAATAATAATTACATGATTAGATAACGGTATTCTGTGGCAGGTTGTTTTTGAACATGGAAGTATATTTGATAATATCTATTTAATTGTAAATATAACACTCTACTTATGCCTTAATGTAAGACATGTGTAAATGGTTAAATAGAGCTTTTAAAAAACCTGTAATAGGTATAGGACTTATAAAGTTTCCATTTGACAATATAGGCCAATTGCAACTTAATTTATACGGCTGGCAATAAATTCTAAATTCAAATGAATTTTATTGTAAAAATATGGAATTCTATTTTGAAATTTAATAATTTGTTGATTGATTAATGTTTTGTTTTCACTATATTTGTATCTTTTTCATCAATATGAACACCGTAAAAATATTAGTATTTATAGAATACAAGTTCCGTCGCAATGCCGCAAGAATGGCTCACAACAATAACGTGAATACTACAAACGAATGCACGACTTATTGTTAGTATGAACGCTTCCAACTTGGAAATTTGGGTCTAAAAAATTAATACCGTATTCACCCGAAAAATAAGAAAGAATATTGGTCCATTTGCCAGTAAAAAAACTTCATAAGTGGTTTTCTGGTAATTTGAGAAGCTCGAGAATCTCGGAACTTTCAGTTTTAGTTTATCGCTAGTCTCCGCTGCTCCTACGCTGCAAGCTCGACCTCATACGGCACAAAATACGCTCTCTAAGCTAAGGTTGTTGCGTCCTCCACTTGAAGGAAACGTTGAAGTCGTCGTGGCCTAAAGTATAAAACATCCGGTACACGAATTGTTGAGCGATGCATCGGTGTTCGAATCCCGGGCAGGTACCAATTTTTCTAATGAAATACGTACTAAACAAATGTTCACGATTGACTTCCACGGTGAAGGAATAGCATCGTGTAATAAAAATCAAACCCGCAAAATTATAATTTGCGTAATTACTGGTGGTAGGACCTCTTGTGAGTCTGCGCGGATAGGTACCACCACACTGTCTATTTCTGCCGTGAAGCAGTAATGCGTTTCGGTTTGAAGGGTGGGGCAGCCGTTGTAACCATACTGAGACCTTAGAACTTATATCTCAAGGTGAGTGGCGCATTTACGTGGTAGATGTCTATGGGCTCCAGTAACCACTTAACACCAGGTGGGATGTGAGCTCATCCACCCAACTAAGCAATAAAAAAAGGACTTCTACTCTTTCCAAAGTTTGGACAACTTCTTGACAAAAAAATTAATACCCGAGAGGCCGTACAAAATGCCTGTAGAGTTTGTTTACTCCCGTACACCTGACTTCTTCAAGAAGGGCATTGATAATTTACCACTGCCCTGGCAACGATGCATCGATACCATGGGTGATTGATGGGATAATTTTTTTTCAATAAAAAGTTCTAACATTCTCTATTCTCCTGAAATATAAACTGAAAACGAAAGTTTTTAACCAGTACGTCCTACCGGTAATAGCTTACGGAGCTAAGACATGAACACTCACAGTACGGTTGGTCCATCAGCTCAAGGTCGCTGAGCGAGCCATGGAAAGAGCCATGCTCGGAGTTTCTCTGAAGGATAAAATCAGAAATGGGGTTATTCGACAGAGAACTAAAGTCATCGACATATATGCCGTAGAACTAACGATCACTGGAGCAGACGGCTTCTCGAGTGGAGACCGCGCAACGGAAGACGTAACGTGGGACGCCCCCTGGCTAGGCTAGGTGGTGCTTTGCCTTCCGAACGGTGGCCGGCAAGAAGTGGATAAGGAGAGCCGAAGACCGGACTCAGTGGTGTGGGAGTTGTGGGTGTTGGGAGAGGCCTATGTCCAGCAGTGGACGACTGTGGGCTAATGATGATTCTCTATACTAAGCGGCAACGTAGGTAAAGATCTAATAAAAACTGAATTTGAAACCAGTTTTATGGTAATGGCGCTATTCCATGAAGTGCAAAATACAACTTAAACTTATCCGACCGCGACGGGACAACACGAAGCCGCCGTCGCCCAAAACATGTCTTGTCGGATCCCCCGGATTGATTCTCGGTGCCTTTAGGACCCTCAAGCACCGGTTATCGTCCTCGTCGAACTTGTCGATTACAACGAAGAGTTCGACGATAATCGATAAATTTGCTTGTTTAAATTAATGGTACTTGGCGACAGACCTTCACTGGGCTCTATGGTTTTGCAATGGTAATTTCCACAAAAACAGACAAAAAACACAATTTTATGCAATAAAAAATAGATGTGATTTCCTTTGTGATTGTGATTTATTGTTATTTCCTTACATTAAAAGTTAGGTTGGTTTTCGTTATCGTGCTGTCTTGTCCTATAGTTGTAAGGAACATTGTGTACTTAGCATATTTAATTTTGTCCTGATCAGTTAGTTGTGCGCGCATGGCCTATGTTACAAGCCAAATTTTTTACTTGTTGTTATTTATTGTGTCTTTTCTTTTTTAGCTTGTAATGTGTATTGTGTGCTTAATAAATAAATAAAATAAAAATAGATATATAAATGTCATCTAGTAAAGTTTTGAGGTACCACTTTGCAGGTACAACGATAGAAGTTCTCCAGAAATTTACGAGATGGCGTTACAAATGTTTTGTTGTTTAAAATCATGTTTTTATTCAATAAAAACATTGTACTGCATTAAAAAAAGTTCTTTCTTCAAAGATTTTGGTTTACTTGGACTTGATTGAAATCGTCAAAGTTGTTAGTAAGATGCACCAATTAGATACATTTATTATACAAAAAATCTAGATTAGACTTAAGTAATACATATATAAGAATTAAATCAACAAATACAAAAAATATATAATGCTTATGTTTGCTAAGAGAAGGTTTAGTGTTTATTTTTATGATAATTATTCTAGTTATAGTTAAATTATGATTGCTATTCATTGTAAGATTAGAAAAAGAAATACATACATACATACATATAAGTACTTGCACGCTTTGCCGCCCTAAACACATCATTACGGATCATCCTGATCAATTAACGGTGCTTTTAGGTACTACAACTGACTACAAGCACACCGTCCTTGCCGAACCCGTCGCTTGCGACGAAGGAAGAATATTCGCAAGGGTCAACCACCAACCACTCCGCAGTGCAATGAAGCAGCCTCACCCTGGGGGAACCGCCTGCATGATCGCGGTATCCCTACGCCAGGTAAGTATGATCTAGCAAGAGAAATATGAGAACCTCTATTAATTGTGTAACATCTCGTCATCGCGATTCAGGAATTGTTGAATTTACGTGCAGTGACATCTGATGATAAAAAACTAAGTAGAAATAATTGTAAATTATATGAGGTAGCGCCCTCTGTGAATTAATATTTTAACTTCACGTTTCATTTTTTCGTTTCATCGATTTTGAAATCACATCACAACGATTTTAATAAGTTTCACTTCGAAAACTATAAATATATATGTTTTGCCTGCATGTTTATTCGCTCAAGCATCACAAAAAAACAATTGAGCTGCTCTTGGTTGATTACACCAAAAATTGTTATGTATCTTATCTCGTTACAGTGACGCATAATGGAAGATGGAGATATGACAACAAAAACACTTTTTTCTGAGTTTAGCAAAACCAGTGTTAAGTGAGCTTCTATATAGTTATTTTAATTTTACAGTATTTTCCGAGAGTTGAAACACAGGACAATACTATTATTAGTTTTACAAAGCTATTTTTACAAATGTAACAAGTCGCTGAGAACGTCATTTGATGTCGAATAGCGCAACTAACGTTTATCAAAAAGGCACCATCTGTTAAGGTGTATCGCCGAATCCGTTTTTATAGTTCAATACAGTTTTTAGACACACTTATGGCCCACTTCCCGTCATCTGAGTGACATATGACAAGGCGAATATCGCGGTCTGCTGAAACTTCTAGACAATAGTATTGTAATAAAAATATACCCCACAGGCAGTAGGGCAAAAATGCTTCGAGACAGCAATAGGTAGGATGGTGGTTAGTACTCATAGGTTCTGGCTGACTATTATTAAGAGTAGAGGCTAATAAAAGGCGAAAAGGCAAATGAATTTGTGAAATAGGATGTATGTATGTCCTGCTAGTACTAAGGATGAATTTGGAGAAAGTAGTAACAGCACCAAGTCTAAACGGTCATATACCTACTCGTTTAAAAGTAACGATCGATGATTTTTGGTCACGTTGTGTTCACTTTAGATATATTTCCAGACATTCCTTATTGGCGAATTGTTTTAATTTTTCGCGGATATCTACTATCTACATTACATATTTTGGGTTTGAGAGTGAATCCTTCACATTGTATTCGCATCG